CACAACCACAACCACAACCACAACCACAACAACAACAACCACAACCACAACAACAACAACAACAACAACCACAACAACAACAACAACAACAAGCACAACCACAACCACAACCACAACCACAACCACAACAACAACAACAACAACAACAACAACAAGCACAACCACAACCACCACGACCACAACCATGGCTTCTGGTTCGAAATCCCATGGTTGTGGGTAAATCGGGACCCGTTGCCATATCAACCGCCGTCAGAGCTTCGGATTCTCGTGGATCAAACGTCCTGGCGGCCAGGTCACGGCAGGTCACCCCTGGTGGGTCAATCTCTGTCTGGTAAATCCCTGCGATTATATAAACCATCATAACCTGGCATGGCATATCATATAGTTTATAATAAATTGAGTTATATTATATATATATATAGGTATAATCATAAGCCATACCCTCTGGTAATTTAACATAGCTATAGAAAATCACCATGCTATTAATAGGTAAACCATCTATAAATGGGCCATTTTCCATAGCTATGTTAGTTTACCAGAGATTTACCCAGTGGGTGGAATGATAACCTATCATAAACCATTGTTTAAACCATCATAAACTATCCCCTGGTGAATCACTGGTAAACCTCCAGTGGAGGATCGTTTGTATTAGTTTATACCACCAATTCATACCCATTCCTATTTGTGTAAGTCATGGAATTTCACTGGGGATGCGAATCATGCTTTTGGGTTTACCACATGGTTTTTTAACCATCAACATCCATCAACCACCAGACAGTTGGATGATCCACACTGTGGATTCCCAGCGGATCATGACTATCCCCGATGCGTTGAAGAGTGATCGTGAAACCATTGTAAACCCCCATCATTCATCAATTCCATTTGTCTAACTTAGAACCCAAGTTCAAGATTCAAGTACCCTCTGGTAAATTAACATAGACCCTGAAAATCACCAATTTTTAATGTGGAAACTAATCTTCCAACCCCTATCTGCCAGGGTCTATGTTAATTTACCAGAGGGTAGTACTTACGTAAATCATACTAAATCCCCATTAAGAGATATAAACTCGATACTGCATTTTTTGGCATAACGGCATAACTCCGAACTTAGTAACCAATCAAGCATTAAGCATCATGTATCAATTATACCCCCATTCTTGCTGGTTAATAACAACTATGATTGAATGTATTTCATGGATAAATCAACAAGGATTTAGGGAAATGCTGCTATTTCTGGACCATTCACCGCCAAAACCTAGGATGATCTAATCTGATCTAATCTTTACGTATTCCCCAAGGACATCGTTTCCATGGATCCCAGGTGGGTCGACATGGTCCTTGAAGTGCAATAGGCGTGCATCCCTCGATCTGTTTCCAGCAGACGAAACGTGAGGCCGTGGCTTTTGGCGTAGCGCTCCACCACTTCGGCCGCCGTCGTCTTGTCGCAGCCGTCCTTTTCGTCGATGTCGATGCAGAGGAGGTTAGCAAAAGAAATGGCGAAGATCCTGGAGAAATGGCATGGCTTGATGGGAACATCCGAAGGAAACTTTCCTGGTTTAAACATGTTCAAACATGTTAGAACCCCAAGAATTGATAACTTTGATGGGAAAATCTGGAGGCTACACCTATATATTTCATGGTTGAAACCATGGTTGTAGCTGGTGATAAGAAAACTGGGTGCCACATTGGTCTCGGCAGCATACAAATAGAATTCCCTCTACTTGCAGCCTACACACATTTCCAATACCAATCAATTACCTTTAGTTCAACAGCTTTAAATAATAAGAATCACAAAAAAAAACAGTAGCCACAGGTGTTTTTTCCCATAATTAATTACTCGATACAGTGCCATAGATGCCCCAACACTATGCAACCCTGCCTTGTGCGAGGATCAAATGTCAATAGGAAAGGCAAGGTGGGGGGCAACCACGGCCCACCCAAGCGCGCAGTATGATGCGAAATGCTGCTACGAACCTGGTGGCAACACGTCGATGGTTGGAAAGTCATCTGGGGCCCCCATCATCCCAAGTTGTGGGTTTCTTAAAATTGGGATACTCCCAAATCATCCAAAATTGGACCATCAGAATATCATCATATTAGTATTGAACTCCATTGGTTAGGGCATCCCCCATTTCCAGAAATATTGAAATTGCGTGGCGAAAGATGGCGGAAAGTGATGGAAACACGAAACCATCAGCCATCTCAGTCCATCTTGATCCATTTCTATACATTTTTTGGGGTGGGGATGGGATGGAAAATAATTGTGTAAAACATATATGAACATATTATGTACTGATCCTAATTTGTGGCGACTGAATGCCATACATTCCACAAAAACAAATCAGCATTTTGCAGGATTATAATTACTTTCAAAAAATAACAATTTACATGTGTTTATCTATTTTTTGGATGGAACATCCCAAAAACATGATGGAAGCAACAAGTTATAAGTTGAAATCACCACCCAGACACCCATTTTATCTTCTTATGAAGTTCTTCCAGCGAGTCAGCGGAAGTGTCCTCAGGTGCCCGGCTCTTCTCAATCCAGTTGTGAAGCCTGAACCAATCGAGGCGTCAAATTACTTGCTGGTTGAGCCGCCATTCGCTATATTCCCTATTCCTCCGTACAATAACAACATCACTTGAGATTTTAAAAGTGAGAAGATTCTTCGTTTTGGTGGTATATAACGTAGTATGAGGCAAGTGGGGAGCATGATATTCTTCATGCTGTGGGACGGAACATAAATGAAACAGTTGGAAGCTATTCACCAGATTCGTGATTCAAAATGCTGCAGGACCCTTTTTTGCTGGAAATATCCAACGTGGCTCATGTGGTTTGCTCCACATTTGTGATTTCCGAAGTCCCTCATGTTGCTGGCTTCCCCCCGGGGTTTCGCCGGCTTCGTCTACACAGTGCTGTCTTTGGTGCTATATGATCCCAGTCTGGGGCAGGCCTCTCTTCAAGGTCATCATCGATTGAGGAGTCCAAGTGGCCAAAGTACGACGACATCGTTTCGCACCTTTTGGATGTCACCACGAAATGACACTATGACTTTGAGCATCGAAATTTGAGCCAGCGAGCCAGCATGTTTCAGCATTCAGCAACCCTCTGGAAAAATGTGTACGCTTCAAGATGCTTCAAACAGGGGACACCCCAAGGGCCAATGGGGACATGCCATGAGAATAACTGTTGAAATCATTTTGCAAATTTCAATGGAACCATGCCCTGAATTCCGCTGGAGTTCCCGCTTTAGAACACTAGAACGCTCGAATGACTCGTGACTCACAAGCAGTTTTGTCCAACTTGAGGTGAAAATGGATGGTTAATAGATTGTTAATGGCACAGTATAACTTATACTGTACTATTAGCCATTCATGTTCAAACATATGATTAATAATATATTCTATAGCATATATATATATATATGTCATATGTATCTGTATATATATATATATATATATGTATCTATATATATATATGTATATATAAATATATATGAACATATATAATATAATATAATATAATATAATATAATATAATATAATATCATATAATATCATATACAACCAAGAACTGTGGTCCTCACCTTTTCGCTGGTCTCTCGACTCTCTCGGCTCTGCGGCCTAGGCAACTCTTGCGACGCGCTCGTTGCGACCGCGGCCGTCAAGGGCTGTGAAAATTGTGGCTGTGTTTGGGTATCATGATTTATGATGGGAAAATAGTGATGATATTTTTTTTAAAAAAAAAGTATGATGATATGGTTATAGTATATATATATATATGCGGATGATGATGTTGTGTTTTTTGTTTTTTTTACATAGACACGCACGATTCTATACTGATGGTTATATCAACAAATGGTATCATGATATAACCATCAGTGTATATATTAATACCATCTGGTTTTATATTAATACCATCATAGTGTATATATATATATATATCAGTGTATAGTTACTATATATTAATCAACATCGTGGTTTTATAGTAATGATTCATCGTGGCTCTATTTTAGGATGGTCCAAATTGATCCAAATTGACTCTCCAAGTAATCTGATCGATGGTAAGTAGTGGTGAAGATAGTTGTTGTGTTGTGAATCAACAAGAAAAGGCAAAAAACCAATGAAAAGCCATGGGTGTGTCTGAAAATAGGGTATATCATACATAAATATAAGTATATATTTATATAAGATTATAAGTGTATTTAGGGCTGCCCTATTTCCGCAAACTTTGTATGGGAAGTGTGCAATTTGAATCAACTTTGTACAGGGTCATATCATATCTCTGACAGAATCGATAGTTGATTTTCCCATTAAAACCTCTGGTTATTTAACATAGCCATGGAAAATGGCCCATTTATGGATGATTTTCCCATTAAAACCTCCATTTAAAATAGGGATCTTCCAATTGTGAACAGCACATGGCCCTTATTCTTCATTGCTATCCTCTGCTGGAGGGATCTGCTAAACAAAACGCAGTGGGCGCATGCAAAACTCAGGAGCCAAGCTGGGTCATGGGACAAGCTCGGTGTCTTGCAGAGTGACTCATGGGAAAAAAAAACAAGCTAAACAAAATTAGATATAGATGGCCTATAGAAATAGATGGTTTACCGTTCTTAAACATGGGTGGATTTTCCATGGCGAACTGTTAAATATTGTTAAATAACCAGATGCTAAACAAAATTAGACTTCAACAACATTGCTGCGCGCGTTTGGGTTGGAGCGCCAGCACGTTCTGAAAACTCCGTAGCCGCAATCTATCCAGTCCAGGGTTCAGTTCTTGATTCTGGCGACATTCAGTGCGTCTGACTAAGTATACCCTCTGGTAATTCAACATAGCTATTGAAAATGGTGATTTATAGTTGATGACTACCCATGGTGATTTTCCACAGCTATGCTAGTCAAAATGGTTATAGACATAGTTGATTCACCCACGAACAATGGTGATTTTGCAGTTCGCAAACTGTTTGTCTACCAGAGGGTAGCTACCTGGCTTAGACTTGATCTGTGAATCCACCAATGGTCCAGAAGCAAGGCCCATCCCCATCAATCCATTTCTGTAAATCCTGGTAAAATTGGTAAACCCCTCAATAAATCAGGTAGATTCAGGTAGTATGTACAATATATACCTTAGTTTTTGCAGTAGTTTTTGAGTCCCTATAGTAACAAACGAACCAGGGTATCTATAATGGCTCATGTTGACTTTCATCTCCAGGCACATGGTCTACTCGGGCATCGGACACCAGGATTCGAGTAATGACTGCATCATCCACTTCGATTCCTGGGTGATGAAGTTCACAGCTTCAGAACTGCTAAACATGCTGGCTTTAGCCAAGAGAAAAGGGCTTGTCAAACCAGCCAGAATGGGATTTTTCATGGGGCTGTACTGGTATACAATAAAATTAATGTATAACCAACAATATGAGAAACATGTTTCCGCCAGTTTACTCCAATTTGCGGAAATTGACGGTGCTGTCAAGCTAGAAAAGCCGTTGCAAGAAAGAACCCTGTGGCCATTCCAGTCATATTTCTGGAGGACCCTTTTGTTGGACCCTGACAATGTTGAGTTCTTGGATTCAAAGACCTCCAAAGAGTCTATACAAGCCATGGTTTGTTTGCCTTTTGATCAGGAAATGTCACGAAAAAAAAGAAGTAGATATCGTTCAATAAAAAGCTACAGCTACACGTATCCAGACTTTCAAACATCATCCTAATGTGATAATCATCCTAATCATCCCAATCCTCCCTAATCATCCCTAATCATCCCTAATCATCCCTAATCACTTGTTTGTATGAATAGGAAATTCATCGTATCAGGTTTAAACATTAGATATTCATAACATATCATAACATATCATATCATAACATATCATAACATATCATATCATATCATAACATATCATAACATATCATAACATATCATAACATATCATAACATATCATAACATATTATAACATATCATAACATATCATAACTATATATATAATATATATTGTGATATATTATGATGATCCTTTAGACCATCCTTGTACCAGGACCGATCTCTCCTCCACTTCGGTGCACATAGTCAGAGAGGACAATTTGGATCTCCTCCATTTGCGCCTCAGTCGGGGCCACCAGTCATAACAAAATGAAAGACTAAACTAACATAGCTATGGACAATTGCCCAATTAATCCCATCTATGGTTGATTTAACTACTAAAATGCTGATTTTCCAGTTCGCTATGTTAGTTTACTGGAGGGTATCGATAATGAATATGTACTGGCAATACATGTATGGATAATGTATGTATGGGTAATATGTGGATATGAAGGATAATTGACTAACTATATAATTAATTATGACGCACGATAATAATCAATTATATATAATTCAAGACAATAATTAGTGACAATTAAACACACCATCTGGTTATTTAACATAGCCATGGAAAATCACCATTTGCAATAGGTAAACGTGGTAAACCATCTATTTCTATGGGCCATCTATACCATGGCTATGTTAAATAACCAGAGGGTAATTCATAATTCCATGGAATATGTGAGTTGGGTGTATTTACTAACATGAAGATTACCATTCTTATTAAACAATATTAAACAACATTAAACACAATATTAGTGACATTATATTAAACATAATTAATGATACCGAACAATTCCAACCAATTCCAATAGAATGAAACCATCGACGTCCCGGAACGTTAAGGCTCCGTCATCTTGCGCATCGCGTTTCTTCGTATTGCACACATCGACCTGGAACGAACGTGCCCACGGACAAAACAGGCCGAAGGTGTGCGTTCCTGATGCTCTCTGGTAATCAAGCATCGCAATGTTAATAGTGTATCTATCTACATATCGATCTATCTATGTATATATATATAAATATAGAGATGATATTCGGACACATTTATGGGGTGAATTCATAGGGGGGTAAAAACATGAAAGCCTATCGATGATCGAAAACCAGCTCGTTGCAACTCCGTTGACTTCGGGGCTTCCACGTCTCCATCTGGGTCAAAAAAAATGGACAGTTCTACTACTGGTTGGTGGTTTGGTATACCTACCCCTCTGAAAAATCATGGAGTGAAAGTAACAGTTGGGATGTTGAAAAATTCCCAACTGAATGGAAAGTCATAAAAAATCCAAACCACCAACCAGACTAGAAGTTGCCAGCCATCTGTGGTCTTGTTGAGCCTCAATACTTTGATCCATACCCACGACTGAGCATGGCGCGGCATTCTTCAGCGTATCCAGAAAAGCCTGACGTGGAACAGCCACATCAGGGCTCTACAGATAATGTTGTTGCTGTTGAATGACTGTCAGCATCTACAATGGATAAATATGAATACACCATATCAAAAAAATATATTCAAATGTATATTAGATTAAATATAATTTCTGATATAACGTTTGAAATTAATCATAAGTGTCTATATCGTTATATAATATAATATAGTATAATATATATATATAAGATGCATGTTTGAAACCGTCTATAAAACATGTCATATGGAATTGGGCATCCTCTGCTTTCGATATGTGCCGCACCTGATGACTTTGCACCATAGGCTTCTCAGTATTGGTGTCAATGTCGAGAATATGAGCCAACCTGCAAACCCGGACCCAAAGTTCTGCGAGGAAGTTGCTGGTGCTGAGAATCTTGATTTCTACCACTGGGATTTGCAATTTCGATATCAAATCAGCCTTTCTCATGCTCCGAATTCCAAGACTTGCGCATCACAAATACAGTATGGTGATCCCGGAAAAAAAGAAAAATGAATCAGATGAATCAGCATCACCATAGATAAATGATGATAAATGTGTAGAGAATACATAGGATCCATATAGAATACCGACTGTCAAATTTTGGATCCCGAAGTTTCCCAGAAACTGCCTTCGATGGACCAAGACATCCGCGTAGCGACGAATTGGAGATGTGAAATGCATGTACCTTTTCCAGGCACACCAACACGGCGTCGATGGTTACGGCTCAGCAGTGTTTTGTGCTCATGATGGAACCAATTTGATTTGTTTGTTTGTTTGTTTATTATGATTTTTGATTATGGTATGAAATCATATATATGTAAAACACTAATTGGCCAAAGTTGACCACTTGCGGATCACCAAAAAATCCCATCAAGACAGGATGGTTCCAACCCCAGAATGGTTATGGTTGCGACCGCACAAAAGGGAGCGAGGATTAAAGCGCCATACACTCATCATACAATATCAGACAATAGGAACGTCAAACCACATCGTACATCATGAACACCACAATGCAAATGGGGGTTTCCTAAAATGGGGATACCCCCAGATCATCCATTTTACAATTTTAGTAGGATTTTCCATTATAAACCATCCATTTTTGGGGTACCACCATTTATGGAAACCCCCATATAATTTGATGTAACAACGGGTGCCTTTTGGCCCATAGAATGCAATTTGGCAACGGGAAGTAAGTCGTAGTGAATACGATATGTTGGTGTCCTTGAATCATTCATATCACCACTAAAACCTTGCTTGAAACGTTGCTCATCACGTCTCAGAAGCACTCAATCGTGAGAAGATTTTATTAAAAGTTAAAAGATGTGTTTCGCAATTTTCAAGGTAGGAATTGGTAAGATCCTACTTGGTGGTTTCAACCCCCCTGAAAAAAAACAAAAATATAGCCAGATTGGATCATCATCCCAACTATTGGGGAAAATTAAAAATGTTCCAAACCACCAACCAGTATAGTTGCAAGTTTCATCTTTAAGATTACTATACGTGGACATATGAGGTACCCAAAAACTGGTGACCCAGGTGCCATCTGAATGTCTATCTCAATGGATTGGTTTGTTGGGGAAAATCGGAAAACCGGAAACCATCGAAATTTTCCCATTATGTGAAATTATGTGTATGGAAAATCTACAGGAAACCATCGATTTTCGCATGATTTTTATGGGGCTTTCCGGTTTCAGGTTTTCCTTAAACCAATCCATTGACCAAATGGAATGTGATTTTCCCCATTATATTGGTTAGTATCATCCCCAAACCAATCATCAACCAACTGGGGTTTAGCAATTTTCCCAACAAACCAATCCGATCAAAACCTAAGTATTGTTGCTTTCCCCACTATAATCCTAGATATTCCATAGAATTTCCATATAATCACCATTAACCCCCATCCATTTGTCTATCGATCCCCAAGAAACACCGGACCGGCGCACGAAGGTAAGGACAACGCCCAATGCTCCACGTCCTCCTCCGTGCCTTCGGCCACCTGTGCAGCGACGCTTGAGCTGCTCAAGTAAGGGTCACTTAAGATCACCAGTTAAGCAGAGTTAACATGAGTATCAGTATAAACATAGTGAAACCATGTTAAACCATGTTAAACAATGTTTTATTGATGGCAAATTGGAAATTCAACAAGTGTTCAAGAACAATCAGTTGTGGTAGCTACACTCTCATTGCCAGTGACAAGTGGTGCCCAAATAATTAATACTTACCCATGCGACTTATTAGATCTTATTAGGACATGGTTGGAAAAACTGATTCGAAAAAGTAATCAATGAACAGGCTAGTGGCATTATTCTCTGCCATGCCTGCATGATGGATTTGGTTCCACTATAGTGCAGCAGGGGAAGCCATGGTCTTCTCTCGCTTACCCGATTGACATCCTCAAATGCCCCATAGAGAAGTACAATTTTAGTAGGATTCTTGCCGGCAGTTCTCTTCAGTTTTGGAGCTGCCAATTTCCGTGCCTCTGACATAGCTAACTTTGCATAGCCCACAATAATCTCTAGCTTGCAGCAGGAAACTAAACAAGCATCACAATTGATCCTTTCACCACCGAGAAACACGGGTCAAAAATTGATGTCGCTCAATTCAGGCTGAGAATGACCCCGTTCTCAACCTACCATTCACCTTGAGTTTTACACGCCGGGCTGAGCGTACCATGTAATTGGCTTCCTTGAAGGACTTCAGCACGGTGTCACACACAGCCTCTGCGCTGCGCTGAAGGGGTTGTCTTCCAAGCATTTCCAAGCTAGAATGGTCAATATTCATCAATATTCTAGGAACATGTCTAAAGATGTCTATAGTGTACACTATACTTATCATATCTTATCATACTCTATTCACATAGAATTTGTGGATGTTATTGTATCTATTTGTATCTTCTTGTTAGTTCAATCGTTTCCACCTTGATCCAGCACCACGGGACCCAATCGCTCGATGCCTCGTACTTGATCGGTGGAAGTTCTTGACTGCACCTGACAGGTCTTGTAGCCATGGCATGCCATGGCTCAAAGGATGATACCAAAAGAACCACGTGGTATCAATAAGGTGTACTAAGGGCAACCAAAACATGGGGTGATCTAAACATGTGCATGTACCGAAACAATCTGGAAAGATCTTGAAAATCAGCTGTGGCATGCGGCAGACCCAATAAGCGTCATCACTTGTATCTGGGTTAAAATTCTGATTACCGGAGGGGATGCAGCGGCTGGCCGCCAGGCTATTACACCCAATTTTGATCCATAGGCAGAAAAATTGACAACACATTGAAACATAGATTGTATATGGAAACCCTATCCTTCTTGTACTCGTTTACCTTTGGATGTTTATGGCAAACAATAGCTAGTGATGTAAATTCAACCAAATAATCAGTGAATTATCCATAAATGGACCATTTTATGGACCATTTTTACGGATAATACACATACAGAAATGTAAATGTGTACATGTTAAATGTCAACCCTGGATTAATAAACCCCAAACGGCTGTTTAATTGGGAGGGTACCATTTAAGTATCAGATTATGACTATTTGAAGAGTACCCCCCTAATTGATAAACCATGGTTGATTAATGCGGGTTTGACATTACATGTTAAATGTAGGTAATTTTTATGTAAATGTGTTATTTCCACGGCCAGGTTGCAGCGTTTTTCGATGCGTCAGGATATCAATTTGGTCCCAGGATCCACAGCAGTAGAGCTTGTAGAGGTTGATCCACTGAAGCCCGATGCTGCAACTCCTCCAGTTGACAAATACGCGGAAATCTCGTGGAAATAATCAGGTTCATTCAACCTAATCATACATTAATACATAGTCTGGCTGGTGGTTGAGCCACCCCTCTGAAAAATGCTGGAGTTCGTCAGTTGGGATGATGACATTCCCAATATATGGAAAGTCATAAAACATGTTCCAAACATTTCCAAACCAGTAGTTCTTGTCATGCCTCATTTTATGTTCTCAGCTTTAGCAATCTCCAGCATTTTTTAGAAACGTGGCCATATGGGCAATCTCCGTTTGCCAGGTGTGTGAATCAATGGATGACCCCACATCTGGTTGGTGGTGCAATAACCATCTTGAAAAATGATGGAGTTCGTCAATGGGGTTGGGATGACATCCCATATATGAAATGGATTTTTTTTCAAATGTTTGAAACCACCAAGCAGCCATAGGTAGACCATCAATTTACTCATTGAAAAATAGCTTGTTTACGTTTATCCTATCATTTTGGTATGTTTCCCGTCATTTCTATGGGTCAACAAAGGGCCCTGCAGGACCAAAACAGTCCATCGTCCAGCGTCCTGCGGCAAAATCTCCACCAAGGCCTTTTTCACCTGTGCGAAACAACCGCCATGGATGGCGAAAACAGGGCCCAACCTTCCGTCCGACATGGGAAGAACTATGAAGAAGCAATAGGATATACAAGACCTATACAAATATGGGGAACTATTACAACTAGTGCCTGAATTGTGGTAACTGTAGTAAATATGGGGCATGTACGAATCATGGATAGACATACTGGCTAAGTATGGTATCATAATTATTACGATTATAGTTCATATAGATGTTACTTATTGCTGAAGCATAGACAACTATATATATATATATATATTGTTATAACTATTGTTATTATTAATCAATATAGATTTTTAACATTACCCTTAATTCCATAATTGTAACTGAATCATGGACCTTCGCGGGTTTTCCCATGGTTTGCTGGAGAGCATGGTGCTGCTTTGATGGTGAAATCCCGACGGGAAATCCAGCTGGACCCTGCTCCCACCCAGAGCGCTTTGGCCAAGCCGTGTCCGGTGAATTTTCTCCAATTTCTCTGGATCTCCCAGCAGTTTCCCAACTTTTCAGGGTGAAAATCCCATAGCAGCGCCACATCGCCACATCGCCACACCTCCTCTTCGGTATCTGGATGACAGCGCAGCAGTGGACGTTGCACCGCCGCTTCTGAGGCCACCTGGAGCCCAACGTGCCATGGATATGACATGGGGATGCAATCGGGTATCATGGAGGTTTTGTTTAAATAGAATATGACATGATGTGACATGGGAAGAATATAACATATACTGTACAACATATATAATCATATATACGTAGCATGTCTATATATCTATATATATATATATGTAGTATATATATATAATATATAAATAAATAGGTTTTGTTAGAGGTACTGGCTTGGTGTTGGGAAAATCAATGGGACATACCTGGAAATTCACAATCCCTAAAACAAAAAGCCAGCTGCTTTTCCTGCAGATCTTTGAGTCCGGGAGGAATTTTCAAGTGGGGATGGGATGAAGATCCATGGATCCCACCCCGTACGGCATAGGTGTAACTTTCCCTCGATGACGAAGTCTCGTTTTTCAGTGATTTGACATGTAAGATGTTGGAAACAATAGGACAAAATCCAGGGATTTCAACACAACAACATTGTGACATGACATGTTTTTTGTGTGACAAACACGGGAAGTTAGTTAGGGATTGAACTTAAAAAGGTCGGGGTTCAACCACAGGATAGCCAGACAGCTGGGACTGTGAAAATGACTAATAATCATTTTGAAGATGACATCATTAACTTATGACTTTAGCTACAATGTCACTGTCAAGGAAAAGTGGGATCGCTTTCCCTTCCTCTGGATGTTTCAGGACTTTCCATTGTTCAGCCTGCGAAAAGCATGAGAAGCGATGGTCTCTCACCATCATTGTTTCTTGTTCAATAATTGGGTTTGTCTGAAAACAGGGTACCTATGTACCTCACATTACACTGCTTTATCATTGTTTTCACCATTAAACTGACATTTTGGCCCAATCAATTCACATTTTAATGGTATACCCAGTTTTAACACAAACCAAATTGCAGCAAGTCACGGTCAATCCCATCGCAGCGAACCATCGGGAGCCCAACAAAAAATCATTAGATCATATTAGATCCAGTTTTTTTCGACCAAGGCTACAACAGAGGTCATCAATTTTGCTGGGAAAATCTTCACCAGAATTTCCATGGATGTTCCCATTTTCAGATCATGGGGCAATGCATTGAATCGTAATGTGAAAGGTGGGGATGGTTTGTCCGCTGCGAAACAGTAACTGGAACGCAAAGTTCTGAAAAAACAACTCTCTTGAACATCTAAGATAATTAATATTGATTATTAATAATTAATATATGATTAATATATGACTATATGATTATATGAGATGATCTATAGATGGGAAGGTTAATGATATATTCCATTATGTGGAATATATATATATATATATTTAATTTATACATATATATATATATATCATGAACCTTTCCATCTATCATCTCATAGTCTGCCCGTGTATCCGGAGTGCCTCGCCCTGTCCATCTGAAATTCCCGCTTTGAGCAGGGACTCTGCCACCACGTGATTCCTGGGCCACGGTCGAGGCTTCGCGGGTCGCTCCGGATGGGTTCTGCCACAGACTTTCCATGGAAATTCCCATAAATCAATCAACCTAACACTATGGAAAATGGCCATAGATATGAATTACCTACAACAAATATATGCTGGTTGGTGGTTTACCTACCCCTCTGAAAAATATGAAAGTCAGTTGAGATGATTATTCCCAATATATAGAAAAAGAAAAAATGTTCCAAACCACCAACCAGATATAGATGATACTCCGACACAAGTTTTTTCATCGGGAAATTCATAGGGGACATGGTAAACAAATGGTGATTATGAAGAGTCTGTGAACAATCGCCGGAGAGTTTTTGGCTGTTTTCGGCTATAAGGCGCCCATGAAAATTCAGGCCCAATGGCAAGCAGCGACAATGTGTCGTCCAAGTCTTTAACTGTGAATGAAAGCTCTTGCATCGCCAATACGAATCACACGAGCAGTACAGGCGGCAAACCTTCATAACCAAAATGTGCTGAGTTTCCTATCAATGCTTGGAACATGTGTGGTTTAACAGGGTGAGCATCCCTAAATCTATTGACCAACCACCCACTTCTCGGGGGTGGGCCGAAGTGTTGAACCAAGAGCTTGCTAGAGCTTCGTAGGATTTAGATGGATAGATAGAACCACTACCAAGTACTATCCAACTACTACCATACACCGGCTATAACAAGTAGTCAATACAACAAAACAACAAAAAGTACTACAGTACTTTAAGGTAAGTGATCTTTCGAAGCCACGTAGTAGTAAGGACAAAATGGAACACTAACACAACAACTTGCTGCTTCTTGTTAGTAACGTATGCGTTTACTAAAGACTCATCACAGCATACTAATTACAGATTGCTAAAACGTGCTAAAACCACATCTAACCCTACATCCCCCTACAAAAGTTTGGAACTCCACACTTCATCCGAGTACCTGCTGCCGTCGAGATTTGGGACATCGGACGCCAATACCATGAGCTCTTCAATTAGTTGGTGCGAAACCTGAGATGTTGGTCAAATGTGATTGAGACATCAGTTACAGGATGTTTCATGTCCATGTCTTGATTGGATTTGATTGGTATGTCCTGTGAAATTATGTCTGCACAATAACCCATATGCTCCATGTATGGTATCTATACCTACATTTAGGTGATTTTTAGGGCAAATGTTGGTAAATAAAGTAAATAAATAATCCCCTAACCGTCCCCCAAATACTAAAAACAGACGTCCATCTCCAATTTCAGAAAATTTCAGATTGGCCAATTTGTTTTTAATTGATCCCCTTTAGAAAACAATTTAAAAATCAACCTACCATTTGTGGGTTTCCCCCCCAATACTAAAAACTAGTCCACCCCGGGGTGTTTATTATTAGGGTCCGTCCGAATTGTTTTAGTTTTTTATATTAAGGTTTTTAATTTAGTATTAGGGGGAAGCTTCGAAATCCAATTTTTGGCCATATTTTAATTGCGTTATATAAAGAAACTTAATTGATTTTGAGATCGGAAAAAGTAGTTTTTATTATTAGGGGTTTAATTTTATTAATTAATAGGGTTCCCTAATAATAAATACCCCCTAATACTGAAAACTACCTGCCGTGTTTAGTAATATGGGGGGGGCGTTTAGTATTAGGAGGAAGGGATTATTCCATACATGGAGCATATTGCAACTGCTTGCAACTGCAATGTCAACAATTGCCCATTGCTGGTACTCTTGGATCTCTTGGAACATGAATCTCAGTTTCTAAACGCAACACTTGCAACATGCCTTGTAAACGGGACCGTCGCCAAAACCCTGAGGTATGGGCTGAAGAAGAGGACTCGCGGACCTCACAAAGACACGAAGATCGAAGACATTTCACATCAATGACCCTCCAAGAGTGCAGATACACTGGCATTTTTTCATTTCTCCAGCTACCTGGCTACCTTACACCATCTTACACCCATTTCTATGGTTTCAACCCCTATCTTTCTTCGTTTTCCAGCTAGATTTTCACCTGGCTGAATCAAATTCCCAGGTCGCTGCGTCGCTGAGTTGGCTACGACCCCAAGCACACGGCCATTGTCGTCCAACTGAAATGCTGCGCTGCTCCTGGGGACGTAGCTGCGAGCTGCGATGAATGTATCATGTTCCATCCCAGTTCCCATCCTACGGAAGAAATCCTTGGTTGAAAGCCCAACAAAATCTTGGGATGTTTACCACAATGTGCGGCCCCCAAGATAGCCCAATAACTATGGTTTATGGTATTTATATGTATTTATAACTATAGTTACTGGGGGGCCTCACATTGCACCAATCAGACCTATCAACTGGTGATAACCGGATTTCGCTGGCCCACCGTACCAACGGTAGTGAATTGGCCTTCCAAGTGCAGTGCATCCTTTTTCCCTCGTTGGCGAAGGGAAAACTGTAACAAAAGCGACCGCAGTAAGCATCGAAAAAGGCTATAATTCACTTCACCTACAGATGTACCCGCATAATCCCGCATATATACTGTTGTATGAATCCCACAACGGATTTGAATGATCCTCCTAGCGTAATATTCTTGCATACAGCCAACATCAAATCAAAGTGGACAATTTCTGTTGTGTCAACGTGTTCAGTGGAAAAAGTCTGGTTTGTGATGTGTGGCTACCCTGCTTATAAAGGTGATAGATGACAGATTGCAATCCTCGCGGTGAACCCGTGGTGGTCTATCTGGAAAGCTGCTCCGGCAATCTGAAACTTTCAGCATCGGGCCTGAGTAGAGCTATGACTACTTGGAGGGCTTCAAAAAACCGCCAAAACCTATTGGTCAAATCCCAAACCTGGTGGTCTTCTCTATGTTTGTTACTGTGACCCTGACTTGGTGCAGGAGACAAACAGTAAGCCTCCGAAATGAGATGAATGATGCCAGAACAGTTTCATATTAAACACTACTACAGATAACTAACGTCTGATTGGCTGGGTCTTCAATTTTCCACATATACCCGTAATTTGATATAGCTATGGAATATGGTCCATTCATAGATGATTTGCCTATTAAAAAAACATGGTGATTTTCCATAGCAACATGTAAACGTTTACCAGGAGGTATAGGGGATTTGCATGGATTTGCCATCCAGCCATGGTTGATTCTCCATGATTAGCAGACCAGAGGCTACCTGCAGCCACCAATTCGGACAGGATGCGCAGTCTCCTCTCCAAGACCAAAGCTCCCTGCTCCGTGCGTCTCCGACGTCTTGCCTCGGTAGTCCAAAGGAAAGATATATATCATATACTGTATATATATATTATATAAATAATTATATATATATATAAGTTATATGTATACATTACATTATAAATATATATGAGTTATATGTATACATTACATTATAAATATATATATGAGTTATATGTATACATTACATTATAAATATATATGAGTTATATGTATACATTACATTATAAATATATATGAGTTATATGTATACATTACATTATAAATATATATATATGAGTTATATATGTATACATTACATTCTAAATATATATGAGTTATATATATAATATATATATATGTATATGTATACATTACATTATATATATATATAAGTTATATATGTATACATTACATTATATAATATATATATATATGTGACTTATATATGTATATGTATACATTACATTAAATATATATATATATATGAGTTATATATATATATATGTACACATTACATTATATAGTATATACAGTATATATACACATATATACATATGTGAGGCTCTTAAAATGGGGGGGTCCCAAAGTCACCAAGGCTGTTTCAATACTGAGTCATGGTCTAATAACCTTATTCGGGGTACCCCCAGTTTAGGAAACCTCGATATCACTACTGCCACTATCCCTCAATGTCTTCACTGTTGCTATTAAGTGACAAACACGATGTGCAAAAGCAATTTACTGTAATGCTAATGCCAATGCCATTCATAATTGTGATTTCTCGTGAATCATAAATGATTCTTCGTTTACCTCACATTATCGCCTTGATAAAACCACCAGGCAAAAGGGACAAACCATTTCTGGGTCCATCCTCTACACCCCAAAAGTAGATCGCCATCGTATGGCACATCAATTTATGGCCAAACCTCACATAAAAACTCCTCCTCATGTCAACTATTGACGATTATCCGCATGACATCCCAACGAATTGATGTTGAATATGTCTCTCAAATCCCCATTTCTTGATCTGGTTGAATCATGTTGAATCCCCATTGTGTTATTGAATTGATGGCACATCCCCATATGTCTATGTTTTTTTAATACCATATTGATAGTCTATATTAATGTCTATATGAATGTCTATATATTAGTAGTTTTTTTTTAAATATTTTCCAATCCGCATTGTTTCATATTTCATGTTGTTTGATGTTGAACAATCATATTTGCTGTTCCAACATCCACCATTTTTGAGTGATTTCCCCCATGACATTCCCATCGGATGCGTGCCAGCGGCGGCTGTGATCTCCGCCAAACTCCGCAGATCTTGGTGAAGATCTGAAGGAATTTGGCCTGGCTCAAAGATTGGGTGGTTGACTGTGCTACCTGGAAAAAAAACATGCCTTTTGAATATCTTGGAGTATCTATTTAAGTTCTATATGAGTTCTATATATGAATTCTATATGGTCAATTTGTTGGGAGAAACCATTGACCAGTTCATGTTGAATGATTGCTGACCATTATTGACCCATCTTTGAGCTGGGTAAAAGGTAGTGGAGGATCACTTTCACCTTGGGGCCTTGCTGAAACTCAGGGCCAGGCTGTCGTTGGATGTCAGGAAGTTATCGACCTCATGTCTCTGCGACAATGGGAAGGATTATCCCGCAAAAATGATGGAAAATAAAAAATGATCCAAACCACCAACCAGAAAATAACTTACTTCTGTTTGATAGGGAAAATTGTGAATAGTTGTTATGGGATGTTGTGGGTCATTCCTCCATTCCCTACAAAGCACCAGTAAAGGAATTGATAGGCTTGATTTTCAACAATTTGGAGAGATTTGTTAAAAAAATGTTTTGGCATCCCCTGAAGCAGCTTGTCTTCCCATCTTTCCCAAAACCCTTCAACGAACTTGTAGCTAGGCACGCTGATGGGGTGCTGACCAACTTTTCTGAAAATTGGTTCTTTCATCAGAATCTAAATGATTCGAAAGCGGCAAATTCCATACAAAACTTGGTTAAACCATAATATAGTGCATATAAATTCCGGTGGGTTCTCAATGTTTAAAACCCAATGACGGTAGTGCCACGCACTGTCAGGTCCCCCTCACCATGTCGTAGCTCAACTTGGCACGAGTCCGGATCACAGTCCTCAGTCGGAGCCCATGTGTCTGAACGGTGATGTGACGCGTTTTAGTTACGCATCGAACATTAATGTCGTTTGTTTATACTAGAAAAAAACGCACACACACACATATATATACATAATATACATTATAAATTACTTTCTTCGAGTGATCCCCACCCTGACCCATTATTCTGACATAGTTTCTCACATACCATCTGGAAGTCATTCTTTCTGGCATATCTTCTGACATTCTTTCTGGCATTCTATCTGCTATATCTTCAGAGATTCTTTGTGGTTAAGGTCCGGCAGAGAACACTCTGATCCGGAGTTCACGGTTGAGGTCCAGCAGGGAACACTTTGATCGAGCTTGCAGTGGCGGTGGGGAACACTTTGATCTAGAGGTTGCTGTTGGGGTCCGGCGGGGAACACTGCGATCTAGCGCTTGCAGTTGAGGTCTGGCGGGGGTCCTCTCCTGGAAGTTTTCCTAACCTTCCATACTTCCCCCTGTTTCTTCCATATTCCTTTCATTCCCCCCTAAAGAACTCTCGATGGCCCTGTCTGGGAAGGAGTTGGAAAGGGCAAGGAGCGTTTGGTTATCATTGGTCCATTGGTTTTTCATGTTTGCTACAGTTTCTGGGCTAGTTGGGCGGTTGTGGCAGCTGCCCGCTGTTGTTTTTGAAGGGCGCCAGGCATCTCCAACACCCCTAGAATAGTTTCTTCCCGAAGGAATTCCGCAAAATGGCATTCAACCTGGCTCTCTCCTGGAAGTTTCCCAACCTTCAATACTTCCCCCTGTTTCTTCCATATTCCTCTCATTTCCCTCCAAAGAACTTTCAATGGCCCTGCATGGGGATGAGTGGGAAAGGGCAGCGTCTCGTTTTGTTTGTTCCGGGCGTTCTTTTCATTTCTTGTCCGCGCATTCCTTCCAAGCTATCTGTCAACTCTGAACCCTGAAAGATTTTGGCCGCAGGCGGAAAAAATTGGACGGTGCATCCTTTCCAGTAGCGTGTGAGAATGTACCTGCATGCACCTCTTGATTCAGCGCACAAGACTTTGAACAAATCGGGTGGCTTGGAGAGGTTGGGGGCGCCATGAGGAAACAAGCGCCAACACAAACCAGATTTCAAGCCCTGAGTGTCCCTTAGTTTCTCTCTCTCTCTCTCCCCCTCTCTCTCTCTCTCCCTACCTACCTATCTACCTGCCGATCGCTAGGTCCACCAAACTATCATCGAAGAATACCCCCCATGTAGTTGTCCTGTGTTGAGACATCAGGTGCCCAACGTATTTTGAATGCACTCGATCAGCCGATGCTGACATTTTGGGTGGGTGCAATGTTTCGCTCATGCGCCTTTTCATGGGGGGAGTGAGGGGTGGCACACACACACACATGCAAATGGAGCCAGTGTACAACCAGATTTTGAAGTCACTGATAACATTCCGTTTGCTGTTCAGGCCCGGCCGGGAACACTGCGATCTAGAGCTTGCAGTTGAGGTCCCACGGGGATCACTTTTATCCAGAGGTTGCTGCTCGGGCCCGGAGGTGAACACTACGTCACTACGATCTAGAGCTTGCAGTGGCGGTGGGTAAAACACTTTGATCTAGAGGTTGCTGTTGGGGTCCGGCGGGGAACACTGCGAGAGCTTGCAGTTGAGGTCCGGCGGAGGAGCAGGAGGCTGGAGGCGGCGGGACTGCTGACATAAAATCTAACAACCCTCACCTGGCGTCGGTGGGGAAATATATTATTGTCTCAAAAAGTAATATCAAATATTTGTATACATTTCTATTGT